ACGAAGGCGAGGCAGGGAGGGGTGACCAAGGCGGTGGTGCCACAGGAGAGTGTCGTGGGACAGGCGGCGGCACTCACACTGGGTAGCAACCTGAGCAGACGCGTACAGCTGTGGAGACAAAGGAGTGTAGCGTGAAACAGTGGTGAGGGTGTACAGACTGGACCCTGGCTGACGTATGAACGTGGCCAGGTGGCGGCCGGTCTTGGAGCATGTACAGATCGCCACACGCTGTCCTCCAGGAGTCCAGGTGTCAACCCAGTGATCCTGAAGGACGGCGTTGCTCACCAGGTTCGTAGAGAACGAGGGAACATGGAGACCAGACAGCTCACCAGACGGGACCGCTGGGCACGGAAGCACAGTCGCGGCCTTGTGCAAGCACTGGACCCCCAGAGGGGTCAGCCAGTGAGACAGGAACAGGTGCAGGGAGAGGGGTGACAGTGGTGCTGTCGCGAAAGAAACAGCGCGAAGCACCAGAGTCAAGTGTGAACGTGTGCAAAGCCTGAGCGGACGCAGTACCAGGGAGAGCAGACTCACTAGCACCTAGGGCTGCAGTCTCTATACCTGGGTCAGGCGGCACACACAAGTAACAGTCACCCTCAGCACTAACAGTCAATGCATACATAGCAGCAAGAATAGCATCATAGTCCAGATCAAAGATAGGAACACCACGCCTAAGCAGATCTGCCCAGTTGGGGAACTCAGTGGCATCAGGAAACTTGGCGCGCCAGGCGTCACTAAGCCTAGCGAAGCAGCGGAACTCGGTGTGAAAACCGTCGCAGGTGCGACCCTGGCGGGGACCTGTGCGAATGACATAGGGGCAGCGGTCAGAGCCCCTAGACGCCCCACGCCCAGCATACCAGTCATTGAGCTGCTGGGAGGTGGGAGGCGGACGCTGCTGCTGCTGCTGTGGCTGCTGCTGCTGCTGCTGCTGCTGGCCGCCACCAGCGCCACTCTTCTGGCCAGATCCACCTCCACCCCCACCTCCACCACCAGTGCCGCTGCCTCCTCCCCCACCACCTCCGCTGCCGCCACCACCGCCCCCGGTCCTGCCACCACCCCACCCACCACCTCCACTCCCACGGCCACCCCCACCACCGCCACCACCCCCGCCGCCCCCACCACCGCCCCCACCGCCGCCACCTCCGCCACCCCTGCCCCCCTTGCCCCCTTTGCCTCCGCCGCGCTTCCCACCAAGAGTAGAAGCGGCGTTGACCTTCTCAGTGCCGAGAAGGTCAACAGCAGTAGCAGCAGAGGCGTAGGAGGGGGCAAGAGGGGAGGGGGAGCATCCCTCAAAGAGGGGAGTGCGGGGAGTGCCACGAGCAGCATTCACAGCAAGAATGTTCTTCTCAGCTGCAACTAGCTGCTGCTCGAAGTCATCTAGGGTGATGGTGGGAGGGTCTTTGGCGAGGAAGTAGTCCCTAACGGAACGGAGCGTGTCGGGAAGGCGGGTGACTAGGATGTAGAGGGTAAAGAATAGGGGGGGTTTGTTCTCGGCGAGGAACTCGTCAGAGAGAGCGGCACGAAAGCGAGCGTCACTAGTGCGGAGGTGAGAGATGAGGTCTGCAGCAGTGGAAAACGAGGCGAGGTCGGGGAAAAGGTAGGGTAGGATGAGGCTACCAACGGCGGCAGTGGCTGGGGCGGAATAGCGGGCAACTACAGCGTCAAACAGTTCCTTAGCAGTCTTAAGCTGGTTGAAGTGTGCGCGCTCGGAGATAGGCAGGTGGTTGCGAATAGCTAGGCGGGCAAGGGCATCGCGGGTCTGCCATTCAGCGCGTTCAGAGGCAGGAGCAGTAGCAGCGGGAGCAGGGGCAGTGCCATTGACATAGTCTAGCAGAGAGGCTCCGTCCTTGGTATTGGTCAAAAGGTAGAGCTGCAGGTCACTGAGCCAGGTGTCAAACTGAACAGGACTACCGTCAGGCTCAAAGTCGAGAACAGAAATAGTCGCCATGGTCACAGGGCGGGGAAATGCAGCAGGCACAGGCTCAGGCTCAGGCGCAGGCAGCAGGCAGGCTCAGGCAGCAGGCTCAAGTAGCAGGCAAAGACTTTAGGGTAAGGCAGCAGGCAGGCGCAGGTGAGGCAATATGGTGGCGCCGGCAACTGATAGCAGGCTCAGGCAGCAGGTAAAGGCTGCAGACTCTGACCGGAGGCTTATGGAGCAGGCTCTTAAGGCAGGCAGGCGCTCAAGGCAGGCAGGCGCTCAAGGCAGGCAGGCCTGTGGCTCACAGGCAGGGCAGGGCACGCGCGGCTGCGAGCTGCGCGCGGGATGAAAGAGCGCGGAGCGGGCTGCTCGGGCAGTGCGCGAGCCGCGCGTGGGCTTTGCGGGCTGCGCGGGCGGTGCGCGGGGCAGCTGCAGGCCGCGTGCGGGCTACGCGGGCGTCTAGCAGGGCGCGACGCGGGTGGCAGCAGTGGCGCTCGCTAGAAAAAAAAAACTATGCGCGCGCTCAGCCGAGGCGCGCGCGGGCAGCAGGCAAGGCTGATAAGACCGTAAGTGAGGTAACACTGTAACCGGTGGGCCCAAATCTTAGGTCCTAAGACCTATTGCTCTAGATACCATCTTAGAACTTAGGCTAGGAACGAATGATGGATTAGGTCAAGGGGGGGGGGGTACAAGAGAGAATGTCGAGAGAATTTCTGTACCCCACTACAGCCTAGACAAAGCCAACATGCATATATAGTTTGACAAGGATAGCTTTGGTGCCTTGGAGGAGGAGGTGAGGGAGAAAGGCCTTAAGAGATGAGTTGGCAACTTACGTGACTTGGGAAAGGAAGGAAGGAATAAATAAGACGCATGTGAGGGTTGATGACTAGTGAGTGGAAGCATGTGCTTGAAGGCACATGGGAGGAGGATTATTGGAGGAGGTAGATGACTTGGGTAATCTTTGATGAGTGGGAAAGGAAAACACATGGAAAATTATGAGGAGTCATGTGCCTTATGGGCGGTGTTCGCCAGCACTTTTGAAAGCAAAAACGACGGCATCAGGAAGGTCAGTCACGCCTTCCTCATGCCGTCAGTTAGGGTTCGTTAAGCTCCGTCAGCATGGTCAGCCCGTAAAAAACAGGTCGAACCTCTTATGTCGTCCGAACCAAATGGAAAATTGAGGGCATGGCGAACGCCCTCAATTTTCCTCCATTTCGAACGTCAAAACTACATCTGAAAACGGGGACGCAATTTCGTCCCCGGGCAAACATCCCGCCGCATGCCATGTCATCGCCATTCACTCTTTCACGGTGAATGGCGATTGCATGGCGATGGCATAGGCGATCAGAGGGGAACCTCGACCAGAGCCAGTAGTGTGACTAATGGGGGTTGGTTTACCCCCAATTTTCCCCTCCCGAACACACCTTCGAGGTGCTCACGTTCGGAACTGGACTTTTTCGGGCGATTTTTACCCTAGTCCAGTAGTTTTTTGCCCCCGGTCAGGCAATGGTCAGTGACACAAAAAATTCGGGCAGGTGGGGATGCAGGTTTCTGATGCGGTTGCCTCGTTTCCCATTTCGGGACCCGAAGTTTCGCGAGTGGCATTTCGCCCAAACCTCTTCGGTGGGTTCCGACCCCGGTTCCTGATGTCGTTGCCATGCCGTCGCTCTCAATCTTTTTCCAAAATTGCATGTGCTGGCGAACACCGCCATGGTGGGACTTGGAGGTGAATATGAAAAGTTGTTGAAGTCGTAGTTGAGTTGGATTAGGAATGGCTATAGTGGCTGGGAGTAATTAAAGAGGTGGTTGATAGGCTTGAGTTGGAAAGGGAAGTTTGTTACTTGAGTGGTTGGAGTAGGCTTTGGAGGAGTTGAGTGGTTTGGATGGGTTCTTAGGAAAATGTGACGACGGTGTTTTCAGGGGAAGGGGTTGGAGTGGCACAGTAGCGTGGCACGTGGAAAACGTGCCATTCACAACAGTTAGCGCGGGCTAGGTGTATGGGACGTGTATACACCTAGCCCGCGGTAAATTCACCGCGCGAACTTTTTTCTTCCAGGCACCCTTTGTGCGTTTTCAGATAATTAGAAGGGCACCCTGAGACTTCGGGGCTAACAGTATAGAGCTAGGATGCATTTCAGTCTCATAAACTGGCACTTAGTGACCTGAGATAAGGGCGGGATTGGCATTTACAAAGTTTCTACTCTCCGTCATCTGGCGAAGGGAATGCATGATTCTACTCTCTCCAAATCCGAAACTACCTTCGTAAACTAACTTAACCGCGGGAAAGTACACCCGGGTGGTGAAGATACCGCCGTTGAATTTACCGCGGACTAGGGCCTTGTTCGATAGCTTCACAGTCCAGGGGTAACCACAGCCCTATCACAGTATTGCGTGGCTCGGTAAAGGCTCGGCAGCAGCAAACATGGGCTTTAAACCTCACGAGAGGTTAGGCATATCCAAACCAGAACCTGAAGTACGTTCGGCACACCTACGAATCTGGTGCGGTAATTTTCGCTGCGGACCGCGGTCCAAACACTGTTGCCCACTGGTCAAGCAACAGTACTTTACGGGCAAAAATAACTTGGTTTCCGTTGGCTGCACCAACGACAGCCTCCCCAATGCCACTTTGAAGGTGTAAACATTTCGGGCAGAAATTGTGCAAAAACATTTGTACCCTAAAATGTTTGGGGTATAGTTTTCCCGTAAAGCAGTAGTTTATTATTTTTTTAAACGCGTTTGTGGTCGAGGGTACACTGTGATGTGAAATTTTCATCTTTCAAATACCCAGGAGTGAGTTCTCCGAAGTTCAACACGTGCTATTTTGGAATTTTGTGTAACAATTTCTCGTATCTGATTTTGCTAGATCAATTGAATTGCGCACTGTGTCAGTTTGTTTTATTCATTGGCTACGCGGTTCTGACTGTTGCGACTTGGGCTGTTCGGGCAGCTATCAAAACTGTAAACCAAATCAAGTTACATCTGGAAGGAATGGACCCCAGGTTCGGAAACCCTAGGCCGACTCGGCTATACTGTGGTGGGGCTGTACAAAAGAATGAAGTGCAATCGAACAGGGCCTAGGTGTATGGCGCAATTGGCCTCTTGTCGTTCGGAGAAGGCTGTGAACGCCATATAGGCGAGGATTCTCGTCAGTAAATACGCCCTAAGGGCGTGCCGTAAGCTCGAGCTCAATTTCATAACGGACATACGGCGACAGACAGGCCAGCACAGCACGGCACACGGATCGGTGCTCTGGCGCGGCACACCCCAGCTCGTGGCCATGGACGCGCTCAAGACGGCGGCGCCGTCGCAGCTGCTGGCGGAGCGCGGCGCCACGCTGGTCGTCATCCACCCCGGCTCGCTCACCCTCCGCATCGGCCTCGCATCGTCCGCCGCCCCGCTCGCCATTCCGCACATCATAGCGCGGCTCACGTCGCCGAACGGGGGCCCACCGCGGGGAGTGGAGGAGAACGGGAAAAGCGCAGAGCGGGGAGGCGAGGCCGCGGCCCGCGCGGACGAGCAAGACGGGGTGAGATGCTCGGGCGGGCGAAAAGGGGGGGCGATTGGATGGGGGAGACGAGTGGATGGGTGTGCGCAGGAAGCAGAGGTAGGCGGGGAGGTGGAGGGCGGAGGAGAGGGGTGGGCGCGGAAGGCGGCGGAGCGGATGAGCGGTGAGAGCGACGCCAAGGTGCTGTCCGCCGCGATGAAGGAGCGGCGGCACGCGCTGCGAGCCACGCTGGCGGAATTAGGGTTTCCTCCGCTGGCGGACGGGAGGGGACAGCGGGGGGGAGAAGGGCGTGGGGAGGAGAGCGACGCGGAGGGAAGGAGGTGGGTGGGCGGAGGTGGCGTGGAGGTGGACGACTCGAGCTTCGCGTGGACGCGCATGGCGGAGAGGGGCGGGGGGAAGGGGGGGGAAGGCGATGAGGAGGGGGGGAAGGGAGGGTGTGAGGGGGTTGCGAGGAAGTTGAGCGGCAGTGAGGCGGATGAGGGGAGGGGGCAAGGCGAAGGGCAGGGAGCAGGGGAAGGGGAAGAAGGCGTTGGTGGGGAGCGGGCGGTGGGCAGGGCGGAGGAGAGCGAGGCAGGGGCGAGTGAGGTGTGTGAGCAGGCGAGAGGCGGCGTGGTGGTGGCGCATGGCGAGGTGACGAGCAGCAGCGAGGCACGTGGAGCAGATGTGGGCGCGCATGGGGGGGAGAGCGAGGCACGGCATTGCAAACACGGGATAGGGCGGGCAGGGGAGGAGCAGGAAGGGAAGGAGGACATGGCGGAGGGGACAGACGACACGGCAGAGGTGATCAAGGGAGATACAGGGGGGCAAGGTGATGGCAAGGCTGTGATAAAGGGGGGCGATGGGAAGGATGGAGGCAAGGGCGGGGAAGCAGGTATGGATGGGGAAGAGGGTGGGAAGGATGATGGGAAGGAGGAGGAGGAGCAAGGGAGGGGCGGGGTGGGCGAGAGGGAGGAGTCAAAGGAGGGTGTGATGGATGCAGTTGGACCGCAGGGCGACGCAGCAAGTGAGGTGCCAGTCCGTGCAGAGGATGGTGGTCGTGAGAAGGCCGAGGTTGGGGGTGAGGACACGGGGGATGGGGGAGGGGAGGGCAGGGAGGGGAGGGCAGTGAGGAGAGAAGAGGCGGTTGCGGGCGAAGAGGAGGGCGAGGGCATGATGCAAGGGGAGCGAGTGGTGGGGACGAGTGGAGGCGTGCATGGGGCGAGCGGCAGTGCGGGGCAGAAAGGGGTGGAAACAGGGAAGGGGGCTGAGAAAGGGGCAGAGGATGATTTGGCTGTGGTGGCTGGGAGGGGGGGGGCAAGGGAGGGCAAAGGGGCAGGACGGGGTGCAGAGGATGGAGTGGGCCATAGGAGGCAAGGATGTGATGCAGGCGGGTCTGTGTCGCTTGATGTGGGCGGGCAGGCAGGGGGGCAGGGCAAGGCAGTGATGGGTGCAGTGGATGGAGAGGCGGTGAACGCAGGGGCTCAAAGGGAGGTGAAGCAGGAGGGGAGGGAGGGGGACAATGAGGCGCCCATATCCCCCCCGCGCCCGCCGGTTCCCCCCCCTGCAGTGCACGGCAGGCAGCGCGGGCGTCCACGGTACCGCCCCGTGGTGGTGGGCGAGGCGGCGCTGGCCATCCCTGGAGGGGCGCCATACGAGGTGCGGCGGCCCATGGCACGTGGGCACCTGAACGCGAGCCACAGCTACCCGCTGCTGCACGTGCTGGACGACCTCAGCGCCATCTGGGACTCCGCCCTCGCCCGCCTCTGCCCTCTCCCCCATTCTCATGCTGCCACTGCTGCTGCCCCACAGCAGCAGGCGGGCAAGGACGGGCAGCAGCGGGAGTGGGATGGCGAGGAGGGGATGGAGCGGCGGCGGCAGCGGCAGCAGTGGCAGCAGCAGGTGTCGGCGGTGGTGGTGGTGCCGGAGAGCATGGATGGGCGCGAGGTGAAGGAGCTGGTGGGCGTGGCGCTGACGCACCTGCGCCTGGCGTCCGTGGTGGTGCACCAGCAGGCCGTCGCCGCCGCCTTTGGCAGCGCCGCGCCGTCAGCGTGTGTGGTGGACGTGGGGGCGCACACGGTGAGCGTGGCGTGCGTGGAGGAGGGCAGTGTGCGCGCGGCGTCACGCGTGGTGGTGCCCGTGGGGTCGGAGGACGCGGGGCTCTGCCTGCTGTGGGCCGCCAATGAAATGCTGGGCGGCCGCCGCCCCCGTGCTCCCACGCCCGTGGTTGGGTCGGGCGGGGGAGGCAGGAGTGGAGGAGAGAAGCGCAAGGGTCGAGATTTGGAGAGCGTGGAATCGAAGGAGAGCGATGAGGGGGAGCGGCAGGAGGAGGTGGGGGAGAGGGAGAGTGGCGAGGGCATCAGGCGGTCACTGCGGGTGGCCAAGAGAGTGCGGGGCGAGGGGAGTGGAGTGGGGGAGGGAGGGGGCAACAGAGAGAAGGGTGCGCAGGAAAGTAGAGGCGCAGGTGGTGGTGGCGCTGTGGGCGAGGGTGCAGAGGGGAGTGAGTTGTGGGAGGAGGGGGAGTGGTTGTGGCCGTACCCAGGCTTTGACCCGTGGGTGGATGCACAGGAGTGGGTGCAGCTGCAGGTGGTGAAGGAGGCGCACTGCTCGCTGCAGGTGGAGGAGCAGGGCGGCGAGGACGCTTTCCACGATGCCGTGCAGGCAGGCCCCTTCAGGTGTTGCCGCGTGGACTTCACTCGGCGCTCACCTGCCTCGCCCGTTGCAGTGCGCCATGCAGTGCGCCTGCCGCGAGCAGCCATGCGTGCAGCAGCAGAGATGCTCTTCCGCCCCGCCCTCATGCTCTCGCCACTCTCTCACGCGCACTCGCCCCTCACCCCGTGGCCGTGGCCGCCCGCCCACCTGCGTGTGGACCACCAGGACGCGCTGGAAGACCCCTCGCTGCCCGACACCTCGCTGCGCCGCCTCGACGCCCTCGCCCTGCCCGACCCCGACCGTGCGCCACCCACCACCGCTGCTGCTCCCACAGGGGGGCGGCGCGTACCGCTGCTGGTGGGGCTGGACGCGGCCATTGCGGCGAGCGTGGCAGCGGTGCCGGACAGGGAGGGGCGGGAGAAGCTGCTCACCAACATCGTGCTCACAGGGGGTGGCGCCGCTCTGCCCGGGCTGAGGAGGCGCATCGAGCAGGCCGTGCCACGCGCTCTCATGGCCCGCCTGCAGGCCATGGCCCACCAAGCCCAAGCTGCTGCTGCTGCCGCCGTTGCCACTGCTGCATCTGCGGCTGCTGCTGTTCCACCAGGTTCTGGACACAATCCTGCAGCAGCTGCTGCAGCCGCGGCAGCAGCGGTAGCGGCAACCACTGCAGCACAGGCTCAGGCTGCTGCTGCCGCTGCTGCGGTTGGTGGCGGGGGTGGCCAGGGGCGGGTGGAGGTGGAGGTGCTGGCGAGCAGGCATCCGCCGGGCGCGACGGCGTGGCGAGGGGGTGCGGTGCTGGGCGTGCTGGACTGGAGCCGAGAGTCGTGGATGACACGCGAGGAATGGGTGGAAGGGTGCCGCGTGGGCGGTGGCAGAAGGTACCGCGAGTCCATGTGCTTCCAGACACCTCTCGTGTGGTACTCCAACGTGGAGTAGAGGGAATGCAGCTCACGCAGGGCTGACGTTTCAGTTTTGAGGCTCCCTGATGGGGAAAAATTTCCCATTTTAGTCTGATCGCACTTCGGCCAAAAAACGAGCAGTCTGATTGCTCAGTCTCCGGAAGTTACAGTGCCTGTTTACTCAGGGTCGGCCAGTTCAATTCAGGGCCGTCGGCTGGGCTGATTTTATCGGACTAAAATAGTCTGATTGTCTGAAATTTCAGGGTATTTTCCTACGGATCCTGATTTTTCAGACTTGTAAGTTTTTCAAACATGGGTACTTCAGACTTACTAGTTTCTGGATACCGGTACTGAGATTTTCAGAGTCTTGACTTTGCCGATAATGGGTCATCAGACTATAGAGAGTACGGATCCTGAAATGCGGATCTGTACTTTCTACCTTCCACTACGTCGTATGAACACACTTCACGGCGCTGTCACACGCAAAATCTGTACTTGGCAACTTTTGCAACACTTCCCATGGATATATGACAGCCCCCGCGGGTTCCCCGTGAACCTCAAATGTACAGTGCAATATCTCCAAGAAATACTTAGAAGACAAACAAGTGACTTATATTTGCTAGGAAGTGAATTAACAAGGCCAACAAAAGGCTGCAGCTGGAGTGTGATAAAGTGGTCTTGTTTGTCTGTTTGAAATGGCCCTTAAAAGCATGAAATGACCTAAATATCACTTCACCATGGCATTTCAGACACTTACCGTAAGCCCCCGGATAGAAGCGCAGGCCTCGGATAAGCGCCGGCGCTTATAAAAGGATGAGGGCGCTTATATCCGGTCCTCGATTATAAGCGCACCCCCTGAGAATTCATGATTTATTATAAGCGCATGTCGATTTTTTTTCTTGAAAGACTGTCGAATTACAGAAACGAACTTCGCCTTAGCAGGGAAACGAAGCACAATTCCAGTTTCCCACTCAAAATCTCACTTGCTGCGCGTCTAGTCAGCACGCGCTGTCGCTTAGTCAGCATGTGTTGGCAGGGAATCAATCCCTGCCAAGCTGCGCGAGATTCGGATTCGTGACCCCATATAGTTTCGACTCGATGAAAATGGGCAGAACGAGATCTACAGTTTGGTGTAAAATAAACTTAATTTCATTTTTGCCATTATATAAACGCCGGCGCTTATAAAAATCCTCGATTATAAGCCCACCCCCTAAAAAACAGTGTTTTTTTATACCCCCAGGGGCGCTTCTATCCGGGGGCTGACGGTATAGTTGGTAGATTTCAGGAATTAGTGGTGTCTTCACAAACGTCTTCATAGCTCCCTCTGTTGTCATTTGCTTGTATATTTCACTGGTTCTGTTGTTTCCAGGTCCCACATGGTCTGCTGAACATATTGGGGAGTTTTTGTTTTTTTAGCCAACTTTGACATATTCACTACCTTGTGCCTACAACCCATGAACCATGTATAATGTGCAACGTCAGATTGTGACAAACATCGTGGTTAGTGGACATGTAACAGAGTGTTTAGTTGTCTTGGTTTGTATGACTAGTAGTGCCCCAGCTATCATAATCCCACAAATGTCCTGATGCATGTGAATAAGAAAACACATGTTTTCTGCCTACCGGCAGTTATTGGTGCACATAACTCTTCTTGACAATAGCCCATCCGCTCCAGATATCTATGTCAGAATGCTATTATTGTCTAGCCTGCAGTGGGGTACTCTATAGCGAGTACAGCCCAATCTAGGGTTTGCTATTTGTACTCAACTGCCTGCTAGTTCAAACCCCTCTCTCCTTTCAATCATTCTTGCCTAGTGATTCTGACATGCTATCAGAGCAGGTCGACCCTCCTGGGTCGATCCTGTGGGTGGGCCCACCACCTAAGCCTTCCGCTGCTACTGCTACTGCTACTGCTACTGCTACTGTCCGTCCGCCGCGCGCCCCGTGGCGCGCGGCGTCGAAACTAGGGTTTTCAGCCCGCCGTGCGCCCCGAGGCACGCGGCGGTTTTCTGCCCGCCGTGCGCCCCGAGGCGCGCGGCGGTTCTCTGCCCGCCGTGTGCCCCGAGGCGCGCGGCGGGTTCCTGCCCCGTCACTCGGCACGTCGCCCCCGGGAGGCGCTGCGACGGGCGACGGGGACCCGCGCGTCGCCCCCCGTCGCCCGTCGTGGCCTGCGCGCGGCCCGTACACCCGGCACGCGGCCCGTACGGGCTGCGCCAGGCCTGCGCGCGGCCCGTACGGGCTGCGCCAGGCCCGCGCGCGGCCCGTACGGGCTGCGCCAGGCCCGCGCGCGGCCCGTACGGGCTGCGCCAGGCACGCGCGCGGCCCGTACGGGAAGCGCCAGGCCCGCGCGCGGCTCGGGCCGCCTGCGCGCGGTTCGGGCGGCTCTACCAGGCCCGTGGGCGGCCCGTTCCTCGCTGCTCCTGCCCTCTCCACTGTCCCCCGTGCTTCTACCGGCGCCTCACCCCTCCTACAGCCCGTTCTCCTAAATTAGGGTTTGGGGGTGAAGAGTGTGGGGGTGGCGGCTATGGGGGTGTCGGTTGTGAGTTCCTCCCCCTGCTCCTCCTCCTCCCTCGTCTCCCTCTGCTACAGCTGCCGCTGAGGGGGGTGGTGTGTGGGAGCCTAGGGTTTGGGGTTTAAGGGGGGTACCGTCGGAGTGGAGCTAGGGTGTCAGCAGGGGGTGTGTGAGAGGGGCGTGGGACGGTCGGGGGAGATTGCGTGGAGGTAGCCGTCGTGACGCCAGCAGCGCCAGTAGTCCGGATGCCCTCGCGCGTTTCGGTAGCCCAGCGAGCCTGCTTCGCCAGTCGCCTGTGGGTCCGTTGCTCCTGTGTGTGCTCGTCGTAGCCGCGGAGCCAGATACTCCCGTAGTCCGGTGCCCTCGTGCGCTCGGTAGCCACTGTGCGCGCCGCTCCTGTTGCCCGTGTGTCTGCAGCTTCAGTCGGCGCCTTTCATCTTCTCTCCTCTCGCCAGCCCTCCTCCTCCTCGCTTGCCCTCTGTGACTGCCTCTAGCTTTGCTCATAACTGTGAACTTTAAACTATTGCTTCTTGAACTTGTGCTCAGAATGTGTGGTGACATTGTGATCCACCCTGAGCTTGTACTGCTTTGCTTGCTCTGCTGATTACACCCCACTTTGGCTATGGGGGTGTGTCAGAATGCTATTATTGTCTAGCCTGCAGTGGGGTACTCTATAGCGAGTACAGCCCAATCTAGGGTTTGCTATTTGTACTCAACTGCCTGCTAGTTCAAACCCCTCTCTCCTTTCAATCATTCTTGCCTAGTGATTCTGACACTGAATCTAAACTGCATCACTTTTGGTTGCTTGCCTCCTTGAACTGGTTGTAGCCTTTATGCAAAAAGTCAGGTCATTCTAAGGTCTTCACTTGTATATTTCAACCACTTGGTTTTTTTTTTTTTTTTTTTCCATTTTTTGCCATACATCAAGAACCAGTGTACCTATTGCCCTGAAAGTTGTGTGTAACCGTCCGTCCACATGATGTATTATCTCTGCAAAAGAGCAATTCATTCTAGAATCTCTACATCTCAATCTCACCTGTTTCTTTGTGTTTGAGTGATTATGGTGTAAACCAATAACCAAAGGTCCAAATCCCTTGAATTTTTTGTGGAAGCATACCTCAACTACCTATATCAACCCTGCAAAATATCAAACCATTCTTCAATCTGTAGACCACAAATCTACCTAATTGCGTAATTATGTGGTTTTTGACCCCATGTATATAGATCCCCTCAATCATTTGAGCTGAGTTCTGGGGAAAACCCTCTTTGCACCACTTGTAGCTTCCCTGCAAAATTTCATATTAATCCAATACCTCCACACCACGTTTCCTGCATGCTTTGATATTTAGGGCCTAATAGGTATCCTATCCGTGTGTGTTCTTCCCAAGGCTAAGTCTTTTCAAGGCAGACACTCGCTGCTGCTATCAGAGTCTTGCTTTGCGGGTTCTCTGCGTAGAACTTTTGCCCTTTCACAGGCAAGGGTGCAGATGAGTTCGCGCAGATATACCCGCAATGTCCACAAAGGGAAATGCTGATGTCGCGCAGAGTTTACAGATTGCCGCGTCCGGAAACTTGAGACCTGGTTGATCGCATCGATGGCTCCTTCGCGATCTCTTCTATCGAAAGGCTGGTTTGACTACCAATTAAGGCGATCGAGAAAATTTGCAGATTGTTCCCATATTCAATGTCGTATTTAGGTTACGGGTGCAGATAACCAACTTCCTCGAGTTTATTCCCCGACATTCGGTCGATCCTTCGAACTGTTCATTGTGCAGATGGCAATGGTTGACGAGGGTTTCGGAATGGTCATAAACTCCGGGAACTAAGCGCAGGGTTGGTCATCGTGCTTCATTAATTTCGGCATCTGGGCCTATGGTTTCTCATTGCACACGAACAATGTACCACATACCGATCCTTCCATGGGTGCGCAAGCTATGTCATCTGCAGCAATGCGTCGGCTACCACGTTGCATTAGTCGGTGTTCTACGCGCACTTTAACATTTGAGGAAAGTATGATCCCCTAGCATAATCCGCAAGGGTAAAGTAATTGGGATTCCAAATTCTTCGAATGTCTACAAGAACTAACACACCTTCAAAGAGCAATTATCAGTAAAGTACGAACACCATTACGACAACACCTTCTACGACTCCGCTCCACCCCCCCCATCCGCTCCTCCCTCACCCCTCCCGTTTTTTTTCCCACGGGATAGTGGCTCTGTTGCAACGTCTACCGCTCCACAGCGCCTCGATCGCAGCCACTTGACAGCGTGCCCACACAAGCACAAACGGATTGCCACATCTGCAGCCAGCTCGACTACACTCGACCATGCAACGCGGTTTAGCTTAACTCCTGAAAGAGCAGTTGCCTTCACATTTTCTACAGCTCTCTTGAACGGCAATGGTTCCTTCTGCTGACCCATGGCAACTAGGACGTCACCCGCTGCAGCAACAACTAGTTTAGAGAGAACAGGCCCACCACCAGCTGCAGATGCTGCGGCTAGAGCTTCCTCCAAGACTTCTCGCTCACCTAGCCCTCTACATGTTGCCCAAAGGCTCGATAGGGTACCCGCGAGAGTGGTCATAAATGTTGGAGTGTCCACTCCGTACGGAGGCTTCTGCAATGCCCCTTTAAACCGTTCTCCAGCGGCAACTGCTGTCCCAGCGCAAAGGGATGTCTCCCAGCTCTGTCCCGCAGTCTCGAGTTCACTTGTCTTGGTTTTCGCAACTTCGAAACTGCAGAGTAGATTATAAAAATTAGTTTCTCGTATTGCGTATCAAGAAAGTCGATCAAAACCCGTACCCACCTTTTCCGACGGCAAACACCATACTCGTCTACCACGCTCCATAAGCTCGTCGGCCATTTGCGCGCAAAATCGAGAAGCTCCTTCTATGTGCGCTCTTCCTCAGGTAGTATCTTGAACTTCTGCAAGTTGCAGTCCGGAAAATAGACACACAAGCAGACGGCCGCACAGAAATGCTGTTCTTCCTGGCTGTCGAACGTTCCCAGAGACCACCTGCGGCCGCCGACGGTTTTGATCCAAGGTCCACGTTCGGGAGCCACCTTTCGGAGCAGGAAGGTCGAACAGCCCAGTCCCCTTAAAGGGTCCCTCCGCATCCAATGTCTTGCCGTCCTCGGTAATGACGGTGGCCTCGGTCATCTTCTGCCGCTTCACCCAACTCAATTGCTTTTGGCCTGTAGTGTTGGGAGCGGGAACGTTCGACGTAGGGCGGTGGCCCAACGGAACTTGGAGATCCGCACCTGCACTACTGTTGACAGGCATTCCGAAACTTTTAGACAGAGTGCCCATACCCTCCCCCGCTGCCACCGGCAAAGTGTTGCACTGCTCCACAGCGCAGCTGTTGGGGACAGGCTGTACGAAATTCACATCGCCTCCTTTCCTCGACATGTCTGTTACATCTCCTTGTGTTACGGGTACCGTATACACCCCTTGGAAAATTCCCGCATCCTCTGTCTCCGGGCCCGGCAAGACAATCCCAGTATTAGCTGCCCCTTGATTCGCGAGGTTGGGGTTTGGTTTGAGTGTAGCGTCTACAATAGCGTGTCCAGGGTTCAATGGCAGACCAGCGTCATCGGTAGGAGGGACACCGAGCGTGATGGGCCGATGGACAGGCGCATCGACCGACCGATGTAGAGCAGTGGGAACATCCAGCGTCCACATCCCTTGCCGTGCCGCAGACTCGAGAGCATCTGCGGCTGCCTTCGTTACCGCTGCTACCAGATCAGCAAACTGCTTCTCGGTGAAAATCGGTGCCGCGTTTGTGGTCCGGTCCAAATGCGTTGTCGCAGCTTTCACAGCGTTGGCCTCAGAGGAAGACAATCGTTCATTTACCACAACGCCAGAAAGAGTCTGTGATAGTTGTTGCAGTGAGGTAGCGGTTGAAGTCTTAACTTCCTCTATTGAGCGCTGCATGTTGGCCAATTTTTCACCCAATTCAGCCCTCCCGTCACGAACTTCTCGTCCCACCTTGAACAGCAATTCAATAATCTCGTCCTTCTTAGATCGCCGCCGGCGACGATGATCCGAAGGTGACCAGCTTCTCTCTTCAGTCTCCTTTTCCCACTCGACGCGGAAGCCCACATCCCTTCCATGGTTGTGGTGGTCATGAGGAAGCTCTGCACCGAAATCACCAGAACCCGGTACGTTTTCTACGGCTTGCGAACTTGGATGGTTCATAAGACGCACTTCAGCCGTTGCGTCCGCAGATCGATTATCGGCGGCACCACTCCCCCCTGCAGGCAGCCGAACCACGTCTGCAGAGCGCATTCCCTGAACAACCCCCGAATACAATTCGTTCCCTGGAATGGCGCCTCCCAGCGCTTGGTTACCCTTGTTGCCGCCGTCCTGTGTACTCACTCCCTGCAGCGTGGTAGCTACAGCATCCTCTTCAACTCCCATTGGATTAAACGCTCTCGAAAGTGCTTCCAGAAGGTCTCGCCTCAACAAATTAGGACCTTTGACAAGTCTGCAAACGTCCTTGATCGATTCCGTGGGACCAATGCAGGTTATTGCAGACCAGTTGCACGCCAGCTTATAGAACCGGTGCACCGCGTGTAGGCCAGAGCTCACCGTATCAGCTGTCTGATTCTTCGCCTGCACAACACAATAGGTTCCGTTAGAATAGAGCGGGCTACATAGCGCAAAAACCAGAAGAACCGGCAGCTCACCAGAGTCACCAAGCTAAGCTGGCGAATTCGTTCATCGACGATAGCCTGCCGGTGATTAATGCTGTATTCCGCCCTAATTTGTTTTGTAAGCCATCTGCAAAGTCAGAACAGTGGACTAATTAAATGGCTTCGTGAAATCCGATAACCAGATCAATCCAAATGGTACTCACTCCACAGCCTCCGCGGCCAAAACGGCGTGGTTTAAGTCACTCAAATCTCCGCGATCTTCGAAATGAAAGATGCGTGTTCGGTAGTTGTTGACTGGCCCGTCCCTTCCGATGTCGTCTGGCCTTAGAAGTACCATGAGGATGTGATGGTACCCTGGTGCGTGGTCAAGGTTGCAAAGACATAGGGTTAGTGATCGGACTACGAGAGTTTATAAGGCCAGGTGGTTGTTCTACACACCTCGAATGAAGGGGAAGAACGATGGCGTGCTTTTGTAAAATCCAATAATCGGTGGATCCCGGTGGCTTTGCCTTCTCCGCCAGCAACTGTCCCGTCGACAAAAACAGCAACTTATTCCGGTCATCCTTCAGAAGATCCGCGACATGGCTGCAAGGCGACACAACAATGTAAGAACCCTGTGTGTAGATATAACTGGCCTGTTACCAAACACCACGTACATCAAGCCGAAGTGCACCAGCGTCTCGTTCAGCTCCGCCCGTTCTGGCGCTAGTAGATTGTAGTCAAATAACGTCACATTCACAGTCAGGCCGCATGATGAAAATACTCGACGGTCTGACATTGGGCAACTGAGTGATTCGTTGTTCAACTGGCCGATTGTCGAAAATCCGCTAGTACCAAAGGAGGTGGTAGAGCGGAGGGGATATGGCCACGTAACTAGAGTACGAAACAAAGCTTTGGGTGTCAAAGCGAACAAACAACCGAGATTTGGTGTACATGGCGTGAAATGAATTCTCCGAATGAAATATGGATGAGCGAGATATGAATGTTGTTTCGGCGCGAGGTCGTGACCACCTGGCTGCGTTTAGGCCACGTGCGTGTTTAGACGGCTGCATGGTAGTATTGGAGGTCAATTGCAGTTCCGATTAAAAACCGTGACACGTCAACAGATAGTCACAAGATCTACGAATGCATGCGTGGCATGCCACGTTACATTGTAACAAGCTTCGATATGGTTACACTGGTCGGAACGATGAAATTACTTACATCACTGCAGCCTGGCACAATCTAAAAACCCACAATCGATGAGTTCGAGGGTGTCACGGGGGTTGGTTAAAAAAAAGGGTGTAGTGCGTATTGTACTAGTCATAATCCTATTGTATAATCACACTAAAAGACATGCAGTGTGCATGGTCGAACAAATCTACTAATCCGTTAGTGCAGGTCATACACCCTCATCCCCCACAACCCTAAACCCGTTCCCCTTTGTCGCGTGCCGCTTTTCCTAGACAATGTTAGCTGCCCATACCCCGAGCTCCTCAACATTTCTGCGGCCTTGTTGCACATGCACCATTGCGTTGTCATCTTGGCACCATTACTGACTAAAGCACGCCAGATGGGGTTTGCGGCGAACTTGTTGGGACTACCCATGACGGTGTGCAGTAGTGTATCGACGCACTCCCCCGCGGTCATGGCCGCCTTGTGTTTCTTGATCGAGGATACGACGCAACACGCTGCATCGCTGAAAATGCCAGAAGTTACAAGAGGATCTGTATCTGCGACAGTTCGATCCGCCTCTGACTTGACGTCCGACCCCGTCAACCCTCTGCTCGATGAATACAAGGCAGACAGTGTGGCTGCGAATGCGAGTTGGAATTGCTACTTGGTCATGCCGGTGGTATCTTCGTACATACCACCATCGAACATTTGGGCAGCCATGTACGCGGCACCTGCGCAGAGAGCGACTTCCCAACTCGATTTCGCGCGGAGGTAGACTTCTGTAGCCTCTCAGATCCTGATAAAGCTACACGAGAAGTTTTTTCAAGTTAGTGTGGTGCTACACATCACATCCCAAAGACGGAAAACGCTTACTTTTCGTGGTTGCATAATCCATGGTTGTTGGCGACACTCCACACACCAGTTGGCCATCAACGGGCGAATTGGAGCACTTCGGCCCATGGTTCCTCCTCCACTTGCAGTTTGACCATAGGATGGTAAATGCATCTACACAACGCCTCCCCGAAAGCACGGTCTTCAACGCTGCGAAAAGGTCCGAGTTTCCGCGACCGACCCCCAACTACCCTAGTACAGTAAATTTTTTTTTTGGCCGTGGCAGTAGTGGACGGCGAAATGTCTCCCGCGACGGATGCCACGTCGAAACGGACATGCTTCTGCTTCTTCCTAGGACGCTCTCTAATAGCCGCCGTCCCCATCGTCTGACGTGAACTTTCTGGCCCAGTTTTGCTACCAACTGTGGGCTTTTCGGGCTGCTAATAAAGCGCGTGGACGTCTGGAGCGGCAACATAGCCTCTCATTCCCGGTGCAGTCATCACCAGAGAAGGCGGTTTGGCAGCTGGGTCCGACCGGTGCTTCGGCCCATGGATCGTCTGCTCATCTGCCGTGGTTGCCGTCGTTTGTGTAGATAACGGAAGTACAAATTGAGGCGAGCTCCCTGCAGCCACATCAACCCTCTGATTCATTTCTCTCGTGTCGCCAACGCTCGACGCCGCCAGCATTCCTTCGCTTACCGCCGTCTGAACGCTTTTCACAAGCGTGCTCATGTTGGAAGTAAACACATCCTTCACCTCTTTCGCCAATCCCTCAGATAGATGTCCATCGAGTTTTGCAACAGCCGTCGAAAGCTGTTTAAGCGATTCCGTTGTCCGTGTCTCAAAACCTTCCACAGTGCTCTGCAAAGTATCCAGACGGCTCATGACATTGACCTGGAATTGCTGCAAAGTAGAACCTTGTTGGGCTTCTTCGAGCCGGGAAATCCTCGATAGAATCTCTTTCATCAGATCCAGCATTCTGCGCCCCTCTAGACCAGAACCCGAACCCTGTGCCTCTCGATGATCTCCAGAGGTTTTAACAGGTTGAGTGCTCGGTGCCTGCCCTCCGTCGGCAGGCTCAGCATTCTTGGTGTTTAATTCTTTGCCTTCCCCTACAGCAGACGTATCCGCAGAAACCCCTCCCTTTGAAGAGCCATTCCCTTCCATTATCAGCATCCCAGGAAGCGATATCGCTCTCTCTTCGTGTCGCTGCTTTTCCGCGGCCTCTCGAAGTTTGTCATGTGGCACGTTGGAGACGCCTTGGTCTTCAGGTTTCGCTCCGCTTGATTCAGGACTACTGATAGGCCGTCAGGGGATCATCTGTCTTGAACGTCTGCTATCACTGTCTTCGCCACTATCATCACTCGACTCATCTGTGTCGGAACTGTCCGTAGTGTCGCCGTCTTCGCTGTCGTCGGACCGCGTAACATCGACGCTTGAACTGTCCTCAACCTTTTCCCTGGCCATGTCCACTATCGACCCTAGCCTCGTTTGCGGATTAGACGCTTCGCTGCACACGTTCTGGATACGCTCGTCACGCCGTAGTCGCATGACGGCTGTCCAATTGCCGAGCACTCTGTAGACCGTGTCTACAACGAGTAGACCGGTACCGCGGTTGCTGTCTTGCGTTGTTACGCCCCTTATCTGCGCAATGAATCGACCCAAGTTAGCTGGTAGGTCAAAGGAGTAACCTGCTCTAATGCAAACTCACCCATAGTTCGGTTGGAATGTTGCGAAGTTTTGTGTGGAACAGTTCCCTGCTCGTCGAGAATACACGAGATTCCGCCTTGACCATTTCTTCAAACTCGCACGACATCTTTTGTCTGAACCACCTGCAAAATAAAAACCAGCTGTCATTCTTAACTAGGTAACCAACTAGACTGAAAGCATGACACGCACATGATAGCATTGGCCGCAAAATCACAGTCGAGCCCATCGCTCGGATCAGTGTAGCGTAAAAAACGCGTGCGACATTTGCCGACTTCCTCCCCTAACAGTAGATCGTCGGGATGTATCACCATCAGGAGACTGAAGTTTGATCGCGCGGGGTGTTGCAATCTGCAGAAAGGGACGATGTTAGGTCACGAAGCGGCAAGGCAGCCAGCGCAGATTTGTCGCATTCTTACGTGGTGTGTACTGGTAGGATGATGCAGCTCTTGGTGAGCATCCCCATATTGGCTGCAGATCCCATACTAATGTCCACGCGCGCCAAACTCGACGACAGCAATAAAATGGTCTCAGACGTCTCCTTGCCGAATTTGTTGTTGGCGATGTGGCTGCATTTAGAGTTGTGTTAGTGTATATTGCATGGTTGACGTAGAACAAGACGTCGAACCTACTTACCCGATGCAGAGATGGACAAGTGTGTCATCGAACTCTCCTCCGCCGACCAGCCTCTTGCACTCTGCAACACTAAATGATACATCATTGACTGCGGATAACACAAGTTTCTGCGACCCCATGGTAGACGAGGAATATCAACGGCGCTTCAACAATCGGTGAAGTCCCTGTTAGTCTAACCTGATATGAATGTTGAATGAACTCGAAGGGCTGTTTGTATGGCTAGGCTGGAAAACTAGCCACCTTGCCCGTCTTTTGAACACGCAACCTGGCACTGTCTAGGCGGTCGTGTGCTATTGTCCGAAACGGAACCTCGAAGTGTAACATCGTAACTTCGTGCAATGATATGGTGCGGATGCTTGGTTAATATCTTGACATGTGTCCACCCCTTGTAACTAATGCCCATACCGAAAACAAAATGCTTCGCGGAGGTATAGAC